TTGAATATCTTGCTTTGAATTTGCACTGCTTAGACTTGTTTAGCTTAATCATTAGTGTTTGATCACTCCTGTTTTCTTGAATTTGGCTTAACTTAAGTGAACTGCTGATGACATGAGTGTGTTGGGATTTGATTAGACCAAAAACATCTTATCAAAATTGATTTTCAGTTGTTCCATACTTGTTTGTGTTTTTAGAAAATGATTTTGATTCTTAGAATTATCTAAAGAATCTAAATCTTCTTCATACTATTCTGTATTTAACAAACTCATTAACACAACCCTTGAATCATTGAAGTTAAATTGAATGAAAGGACTACTTACTTGATTAAACTCCTTGGTGAGCTTGTTTTTGATGTCTACCCCTTCATATTGGTTTACTGGTTCATTCAGCTTGTGTATAGCTTCATTGGGGCTTATTCCCTTGGTTGTGTGCTCTATGATATGATCAAAACCTGTAGGAACATCTTTGGGCAACGACATGTGCATTATACTAGAATTGGAAAAATTAAAACTTGTTTTATCAAGACAAGCACTTAACTTAGATAAATTCAAATTCGGTTCAAGTGATGTTGATTTTATGACTTGTCTTTCAGGGCAAGTTGCAGCAAAGTGCCCTCTCTTGTGACATCTATAGCATGTTGGTTCTTTTAATTTTACAGAGCTAGAGTTAGAGGACTTACCTTGAAGTGGTTTTCCTTGAAGTTGAAGCGTGGGTATAACAATCAAATTTTGTTGAGCCTCCATCACCTGAATTGGTTTCTTAGCCTCTCTTGTAATTTTCTGAAACATAAGACTCTTAGGGGTGTAGCTCTGGTTGTGGAACCTCCGTACAAACTCCCTGTACATTCGCTACTTGAAATCTCCTCAAGTAAGAATTGGCTTATTGTAGTGGGACATAAGTTCTTCACTTGTCCACCATGAAGAATTTTCTCCAATAAGTGAGTTAACAGCTTTTGCTAGTGTCTCTTTCTTTGGGATGTTGTAGAACCGAAACCAATACTCAAGTTCCCTGTTTATGACCTGAAAATGTTATTAGTTGAAAATCAAATTGTTCACAACTATTACCTTGGTTGTTTTCTGAATAGTAGGTGTAACAATGTGAAGTATAGTCTGGTGGTGCTGGCTCCATGTCACCACGTTCTAGCTCATCTTCCTCCCATCTCTCAACCTCATTGATGTTTTCATTCTCATGAGCATACTCATCTTGGTATTCACATTTTTCACCATTCTGCTAAGTTTCTTCTAAACTGATTACACCATGGCTTGTCTTCATGGTAAGAGCTGATTTCTTCCTCATGTGTATAAGGCTCCACAAAATGGTCTTCAACATTGAATTCTTCATGTTCAGCTTCAATTTCGTGGTCTCCTTTTCCTAGATTGAATTGAGAATTAGTCTCTTCATGGCCTTCTTCTTGATCGGCTTCTTCTTCTCTAATCCACAGCTTATGTTGTCATGGCTATAATCTGGCGGTTCTGGTTCAAAATTTTCACGCTCAGGCTCTTCTTCAAAGTCAGAGCTTGAGTAGTCATCTCCTGGACATGATGGTACCTCATCGTTAGCCTCCTCATCGGAAAAAGCTAGGCTTTCTTCTCCTTGGCTCCATGTATCTTCTTCAGATAAGTGAGAGCCGTCTTCTTTAATGTCAGCCATGTCTTCTCTTCTATCTTTTTCTTTTGGTACCTTGTAAAAGATATAAAAGGAAGAGGACGTGAATAAACTTGGATCAACGCAAAAGGAAGTAAAGAGTTAAAGCAAAAGTAAATAAATGGAAAATTCCTTTTCTTTTAACTAAATAAATTCTGAAAATTAATCTAACAAAAAAAGAAAAGTTTTTTTTTATGGTTTTTCTTATATGAAACAAATTTAAAAAGACTGAAACAAATATTTTTATTTGGTTTTTTGATTTATATGCAAAGAAATCAAAAAAATAAACAAGAGCAATTTTTATTGATTTTTTTTTTGTTTTATGTAAACAAACAAAAATAACAAACACAAAATAACTCCAACTCATCATCACTCCATGATCAAGAGATTCCAAGCTTAAACTTGCGGAAGGTGGAAATGATGATAGATGTGGATGATGGAGGGTGACTGACTCGTTACTTAAATAGAACCAAAGTGAATCACACACTTAAGAACTAAAGAACAGAGAAACAACTTCAAAGACCTTACTTTGAAAAAATAACTTATGTTTATTAAAATATATATTCAAAGGTGCCTTGTACAAAGGACGAAATGAGCTTTATATAGAGCTCTTACATGAGTAAACTCACGGTCTAAAATATAGAAACAAGAAAGAAAATCAAAGCATTGAATAAAAACTAGCTGTTGGGCCATAATGAGGAAATCGGCTAAAAATATGAAAACTGAGGTCTTCTTGTATCTGAACGGTTTGAGGGGATAATTGAGATTCTCTGGCACATTCTGGATGGTAAAGAAGACATCCACAAAGCAGCAGCGTAGTCAAGAGAACCGTTGGAGAGTAAAGGCTCTAAGTGTGAATGTGTTGAATGCTTTTGTGTCCAAGTAAGGGAAGAGGCTCTTTGAATAATCCCAAATGATCCTGTGCGTTTTAGTGGAGCTAGTGACATTATTGAACCTTCTAGTTGATGGAGAATATTGCCTGGTCGCCAAAGATATGTTTCGAGTTTTCCAAACTCGGAAGGTTCCAAATAAGGCAAGTCGAGAGTACCTTGGTTTAGAAATTAAGGGCCTGACTGGTTTAAACGCAGCGGTTGCAGGAGTTTGCGGAAACAGACGGTTACGGTTAACAGCGTTAACCAATAGTTTGTAGGATTGGTATAATAATTAGGAGCGGATGTATTTGCGGGATATTTTTAACTGGTTAGCCAGCAGGTGCACAAACGGTTAAAAAATATATAATAAAAAATATGAAAACATAATATCTAAAATATATAAACTAATAATGATTAATTAAAAGATCATAATTAAAGTACTAAATAATTGTTCAAAAATAAATAAATTCCATAGTAACATGCCTACTAGTTAATGTATTCAGGCTATCATAGAAAAAATTGCTTCAAGTAACATGATGAACTAATTAAAATTTGGTAGAAGATGTCGATCTTCCGGATTTTTCCTAAACATAATGTAATGTTTCTTCTAAAAATTCAAACGGTATATAACGTGAGACCAACCCAAATCAACTCCAAGCTCGTTTTTAATATTTTTGAGAATATTATCTTTTTGTAGTGCACTTAGAAACCTCTTCTTATGATCTTCCGCTCCTTTCTCCTCAATTACTAGCTGAAGTACCACACACGCGCAAGGTTAAAAAGGATACGAAGATACGTGTATTAGGTTGAGATGGATTGACTTATATAATAAGTTATTAAGTAAACATAAAAGATTCGTGATAGATGCAAATCTAATTTATTTGGGAAAAAAACCAGAAATGTTTCAAAGAGTTACTGCTAAACTCAAAAAGGGTGCCACATATTTTCGTATCATCTAAAACATCTCCTGAAACAGAGTAAAACGAAACAACTGCAAACAGAAAATATAATGTTAGAGTTATCTAACGATGATCCCATATATCTCGCGCTATAGCATCTCTAATTGTTGACATATACACATCAGCTGTCGGATCATAATTTTGGTTTACTCCAAGATCATCATGAGAAGGAGACGTGTTTCCTACAGGATCAACATCATAATCCTCAGTTCCTTCAGCAGTATTTAAGTGAGTGTCTTCTGAATTAGAATCTCGAATGAAATTATGTAATGACATAGTTGCTGCGACAATCTTTTCCTGCATCTCCACATCGTAACAAACCCGACCTTCTAAAATAGACCATTTCCCCTTCCACGCTCCAAACGTTCTTTCAATTACGGATCGAAGAGAGAAATGTCTCTTATTGAATGTCTCTCGAAGAGTGGTCGGTCTACGTCCAGCAAAATGATTTGGATGGTAGGCCTCACCTCTATAGGGAGCTAGAGAACCCCTTCTGTTAGGATAACCAGAATCCACAAGAAAATACTTGTCCGAGCTTGGGAATGGAAAGTAATCATCATGGCGTGCACAACATGTCAATATTTTTGAGTCGTGTGCGCATTCCGGAACTCCAATACGTGTGTATATAGATTTCATATTGAAATCACACACTGCCAAAATGTTCATTGATGTGTAATTATGATAACTCCAGTACGTGATCTTCTTATTGCCACCCACACGTACACGAACGTGCGTACCATCTATGGCTCTAATACAATCTTCAAAGTATGGAAAATACCTCTTATCATGCATGATTCGTGGTGGTAGGGCATTAAGTTCTTCTCTTTTCCATGAAACGATGTCTGAGTGCAAGCAACATAAGGTGTTAACAACATCGTTAAATTTTGTTGTAACAGTCCACTGTGCAACCTGAAAATCTGCTGCTATAGTCTTCCGTGATGGTTTATGCCCCAAAATCTTGAGTGACATTCCTAGAGCAACCTCAGATCTTACCCGATGAGAATCTTTAAGACCATATTTTTTAGCTTATCTAAGGGCTTAAGAAACACTCTTTGGCACATACGTAAAACATGGAGGCATTGTGTGTCACTCTCATACATTAGCTGATGCATTATTCGGTGTCCACGTTCTGAATCTGTTCTCAACTGCTCTCTTTGGGAAAAACGAAGACGGTAAATAAAAATTATTGCCTCAATCGCTTGCTCATCTGCATCTATAACTTCTTTGATTGTATTCAACTCCATATCACTTGCTTCCTGAAACAAAATTAATTTCTTGTCACCTAAGTCTGAATCAAAACGACACATTCTAAAACAAAAGACAGGTTTTGATTAAACTAATTTCAAAATTGAATTAGATATTCATTGTCCTCATTGTCATAAATAAAATGCAAAGAAGAAAGCACAATTCCCATGAAAATAAACCAACAATAACTAAACTAAATCCAAAACAGAAGTAGATACTCTTTGTCATAAATAAAATGCAAACACAAAAGCAAAATTCCCATGAAATGAGACCAATATGCTAATCATCAAAGAAGTCATTACGAGACTCCTTGGTTTGGCGCTTCAGAAAAGGTAACTTTTCAGCATCTGGAAGAGCAAGAAATAATCCCCGCACAACATCATTTGTTGCAATTAGATCGAGAGAAGCCCAATAAAGCTCTGTCATAGGAACTAGATCAGGTACCACCCTTACATACTTGACAACAAGAGCCATGCGTTCTTCAGTTGAGTTTGTTGACTCTTTAGACTTCTATGATGTCATGTGTTCCCAAATATCATTCCGCTCTTCCATAGTAAGCAATACGGTCGAGCGTCGAATCTACTGAATTGCTCTTACGCTTTCTTTTACGAGTTACATTTTTCACTTGAGTGTGTGTGGAAGAACTAGGTTGCGATGCCAACGACGGATCTGTTTCGTTCAAATTTGGAGAAAATTCCATCGGAACTTGTTCGAACCACTCATCTCCAGGATGCAGACAATTATTCTGAGTTGGATCTTCTCTTTCATCTGCATTGTTGTTCAGACTGTCGTTTTCACTTAAGTCTGCTGGTGGAGCACGAGAGTGTGCACCAGGTCTCGGTTGCCATGAGTCCTCAACCACGACAGTTTTATCTCCAAAAACCACATGAAGAAGCGGAATGTATCGTAGTGGCTTCGAGCGAAGTTTCGAAGCTTCAGGATAAGTCTTAGAAACCAAAAACAAAAAAAAATCATTCAAAACGTGTATACGAAACAAAAGCTTAATATAATGAATGTATATTTACCTTGATTTTGTCTTTCCACCAATCATCTGGTGCATCAAGACTTCCTGTCATGGGATTGAATTCAAGACCAGTTGATCCAAACATGATTTTATGATAGAGTTCATACTGCTTCTTTAAGTTGTCTAGCTTGTTCTTAACTTTGTTCCAATTTAGGGTAATAGGAAACATCTTTTTAAATTCTGTGAGAACATTTTTTTTCCCTGCTCACTCAAACTTTTGCCTTTGGAATTCCCAGCTTGTTTTTGTAAAGTTATCAAATCCAACAACAAACGGGTCATATCGTCCGACCATTGGAGTTTCTATTTGAAATCCAATATAAACACATATCTAAATACCAAAATATACACATATGAATCATAAACAATAGATCTAAAACTCTTAAAACTGAGAAAGAAAGAGAATAAAAAAGGCAAAGAACCATAATAACCATTGCATAATCATTAATAGAAAACAATACTTACGTTCGTATCTTGGCTTTCTTCGGTGTGTATTGAAGCCATGATAATTATGAAGATGACGAAGGATATAGAATTAGGTACATTTTTATGAAGAAAGATATAAATTTTTATGAAGAATACGAAAGATATAGGTTTAGGAGTCGATGCCCTAATTTGTAGTTATTGTTATTATTTTTTTATTTTTTTCCAGCCCTAACGTTCCGCTACCGCAAATGTATAAATGGGCTTTTGATTTTCAGCAGTATAAAGCGGTACAAAGCAGTACGGAGCGGTTAGGGTGATTGTTTCGAAATGCTACCAACCGCTATCTACCACAAACGCAGCGTTTGCGGTAGTAGTGGCTAAACCAGTCATCCCCATGACGAATTTTGGCATGAATCCAATTTTTCTCGGTTCTCTGATGAGTGAAGTTTCCAAAACATCCAGCTTTGTTGCTTGAATCGTCTTCGTTTGGCCGGAATGATATATTTACTGGTCGCATGTCTCCAGCGGGTTCATTGAAGATCTGCCAACTTGTATGTTCAATATCTTCTTCATATGGACTCCTTTTTAGCTGATTCTTCTTCGTGGTGAACTCTAGGTGAGTTCAGTATGCTCTCCAAGTCTGGGATGAGTCTGAATGCACGGAAGGATTGAGGTCTAGAAAGAACAAATCATCAAAAATAGTCTCTCCATTATTCATGGTATATTCTCCAAAGGAGATCGTCTCTCCTTTACCCTTGGCTAGACCATCATGTCCAGTGATCATCTGTCCCAATGTTGATATTATTCTCGATATTGTGTCACTACCCCAAGCAAGCGGAGAATACACTACACGTTCGGGATACCCCGCTAGGAGAGAAGTGAATCTCTCATCAACCACACAACCCCAAGGGGCTAAAAAATTCAATTGGACCCGACATATCTGGGCAGGGAACTTCTCACCCAAGCTGAAGCTCTTTCGATGGAAAATCATACAAAATGTATTACCTATTGGTGAAAATCCTGCGATAACAGGCCTCCTATCGAATACAAACTGCATAAGATACGAACTACCAGAAACGGTCACTCACTTATTCTTCCAATGCGATTTAGCGTAGAGGGCTTGGCAAGCAGCCTCCGAGATGAGTTGAATCTCTCCCAATCCTTCCAAGACAACAATACCACTACCTCCGGGATTACAAATAAATTCCCTCTTTGTGTGGATCTGCTGGTCCCTTTGGTCAGCACAATACCTTCTCATCTTCGAAAACAGATAAATTCGCAACCCAACGAAATCTTCACCAAAGCTGTAGTAGGTACCTGAGAGTAGCACTTCACGCAAGATAAACAGGTGAGAATCCAGCCTGATAGCCTGCATTACTGCATCATTTTATGTCTCATTTAGTATAGTTTCCATTGCATATCATCCATTTTATAGTCGAAAGAGTCCCATTTGCCTTCATAGCAGAGTTATTAAGATTAGGATTAGGAATGTACGTTTTGTTGCATTTGGAGTGTATTTCAGGTACTATGGAGCTGTGGAGACCTTCTGATCAAGTGGAGTTCATGTTGATGGATGGAAAAGAGCAAAAGGAAGCAAAGCAAGAAGAGTGACTTGCATCGGGCAGTTCATCAGCGTCTACACCTCGGAGCAAATTAACCCGAGACTTCTATACCTTGGTGGAAATCAGCTCGAGACTTTGAGGAGTTGCACTGGACACCTGAACTGGTGTCAATACCTCTGTGTAAATCAGCCCGAGACTTCGAGGAGTTGCATCGGGCACTCACAGCAGCGTTTATACCTCGGTATAAATCATCCCGAGACTTCGAGGAGTAGCAGCGGACACTCACAGCGGATTCTACTCCCTAGTGTGATGATGGCGCCCTCCTTCCTTTGGTTTTTCTCTGGTTTTGACTTTAGTCAACTTCTGAGTTTTGACCATTGACCAACCCTTAACCTTTGACTATGTAAGCAAACCTTATCAACAATTGATCTTATCTTTCATTATCTTAACTTTAATGATTTTTCAGATCTAAACATTCTCTCTCTCTCTCTTGGTCTTAAACTATTATCCAGAATTCTTAGTGTTTGTAAGCAATATTTTGAGTTTCTATTAAGAGTTTGCATTTTCTGCTTTTGATCATCCTTCTACTGCTTTTAATTATATTTTCTGTTTGTGAATCTATGATTTATCTATGTGTTCTGAGTAGTTCTTTAAGGGTTCTTAGGATTGGTTAGATCCATGATGAGTTAGTGATTAATCTTTGATGTTTAGTGCTTAATATGATTGATCATTTCCTTCTTGATGTTTTTAATGTTTGATCCTTGCAAATCACTAGGATTTCGAATCTGGGCTTTCACTGCACCAAAAGTGTTTCATGAAATGCTTACACCAGTCACATAGGAGATTTATGTATCCTTACACATGAGAATTGTTGACTAGAGAGTATTTTGGCTTGATAGAACTGATGTTTAAGGCTTGTTAACTGCTTGATCACTAATGAGAATTAGCTTTGGTTAAGTTGTTAGTAAAGAGATCTTTGTCAAGAGATTAGACTGATCTTCATGTTTAGAGTCCTATGCGGAAGGATTAGTCTTATTAGTTGAGTTTGCACATCAAGGATTCACTGCTATTTCATTGTTGGATCAATAACCCCATCCTAAGACACATGCTTGTTAAAATTCCAATTTCCCCTGTTTTCTCCTATGTTTGCTATGTTTCTTGAATTCAAATTGCTTAGTTACTTGTCTTGCCCTCTAGTCTATTATTTTCTTTCACTCTTTTGATTGATCACTTAGGATGATAGACTTCTAAACAACTTCTTTTACTTGGCTTAGCTTTCATTCATTAATGTATTCTCAATGATTCACATGCCTGATTGGATTGACACCTTAAGTGCTACAATGACATGATCATAAGACTTGAGGAATTGAGTCACAATTATATGTTAATCGACTAAAATTAACTGTAAAAATAGAAACGAAAATTGTGATGTTAGGTAATACTAATTATAATAGAAAACACCCAAAGTAAAACAATATGCAAAATCTGGTACAACTACTATCTTCTGGACAACTATGTGCAAATTTGATGGTGCCCATTGATATATTCATTATTTACACCATATTATAGCATATATTCTGCATTGTTTTATAGTCTTTAAACATTCATTTTTGCTTGTTTTTGTCCCATTTGCATTCAATTAGGACTACTGTAGATTTAGGGTGAGCATTGCATGTTTTGTGCATTTGAGGAGATTGGCAGGTATGCTTGGAGAGTTTTGAGACTACAAGGAGCATGTGAGATGATGGTGGGTGCAGCACAAGACATCAAAAGAGCCAAGAAGAAGGTGCACATGGTTGAAGCGGCCAGAAATTTCACCCGACAAACCCGGCTCGGACAAAGCATCTCCAACCCGATTCAGCTTCAACTGTCTGCATGAATATTGTATCCCCGTGAGGTATCGTGCTGTAATTAGTTTCAGGTCATTCACATCAGCGGTTAGGAAGTTACAGAAGTTTTCGTGAAACCGCTTAACCCGTATCGGTTACCTTATAGACCGATAGGATTCCTATCGACCAAGCCTATTGGTCAAAGAAGTGACCGATAGAAGTTCAGCGTGAGGATTCCGGTCACCCTATCGGTCACCTTCTAGACCGATAGGATTCCTGTCGATCACCCTATCGATCACAACTGACGGATAGGAACCCAGTCCGGAGCTGCCTTTTATTACGCTTTTGTCATTACTTTAGGGCTTCCTCCTTTTATATATAAATACTACTTTTTTGGAGATTTTCGAGCAATCATGTCATCACTGTTCTTGAGTTATTTTTCGGAGTTTGTAAGATAAATTTCTCTTTTTTATTTAGTATAAGTTTGTATTTGCCATTAATCTTTCCTTAATTTCTCATTTAATCATGATTAGGATCTTTTTCTCTTGTGATTTGGTGTTAAACATGAGTATTAGTGAGTAGTTTGCTTAGGGTTTTTAGATGTGGTAGATTAAGGGGATTTAGGAATTGATTAAAGTTTGTTTAGTGCTTAATAACATGGGTTCCTCTCTATTGATCCATTTTTAAGCTAGATTTGTCTTGATCACACTTATCTAGGATTTGAGCTTTCTCTTATGCCCACCAAGTGTTTGATGAAATGCTGATCTTGTTTGATAGAGGATTTGCTGGCCTTGGCTCAAGAGATTGACTGTTTGAGGATCATTTTGACATGAATAGAGTTGATTATTAATGCTTGTTGAAAGTTTTAACACTAATGAGAGTTAGTTCTTGTTAAGGTGTTTAGCAAAGGGCTATTTATCAAGAGATTGGACTTAACTTGCTTGTTTGTGAACTCTATGTCTAGGAACCACCATTGCTAGCTTGTTTGCTTGATCAATGCTGTTTGAAACAACCTTAGTTAGTCTCTGAATTCCCCCAAAATCAATAACCACATCTAGGAACTTGCTTTCTCTTTGATTGAATTTCGAATTTGTCTATTTGCTCTGCCATTTACTCTGTTTTGCTTCTTTGATCATTGCTAAACTGTCTCTTTTAGAGTTCTTTTTGGTTATTGATCACTTTAGGTTGTTAGTTTAGTTACAAAAAACCCTATTTGCTTGCTTGACTTAAGGATTTCTGCTTGCAACTCTTTTGTATTCAACAACTCCCCATGGATTGACATAAAACCCTTATACTACAACTGATTTAAATACAGGGGTGATTGAGAAAGACCAAAAACCTCTGTAACAATTTGG